ATATATATACACAAAATCTAAGAATAACACATACATAAATGCAAACTACACAACATACCAAGCACATTTTACAATGAGAGGCTCTATATTCATATACATATCATGTATATATTATTTATATATATATATGTATATATATATGAGTATATATTTTTACTATGTGTTCCTAAGACAACCTTGCCAATTTCCAAATTCATTGCATATGATCTTTTTGAGAATGGAATTTGAAACAAGTCATGGACACAACAGTTAACTGTTTCTACAACACCATCGACCCTTTAAAGTCCTTAAACCATTACAAGTCTTAAAGTCCATTCCACCATACTGTGCTCTCTCAGTAAGTGACACTCTCAGGAAACTCTCAGCAAGAACACACTGGCAGAAACGTCTCATATCAAAACACACACACAAACAAACACACATGAAATAAAAGCATGCACAAAACTAAAAACTATATAAATTAACATTGATTAATATCTACTAATTGCAGTAGACATACAAGCACAATCCGCAATTATTTATCATTTGTACATCACATAAATATATATATGTAAACCTCATACATGTACATTTCATATACATGAATTTTATATTATATAGCATATATTTCTATATTTCTCTGTCATATATTTTTTATTTATATATTATATTATATTATTTTTATGTTATTATTATATTATATACGACATTGCAAATTTCAACACCAAGATAGACAGTCAGGCTTTTCCTTTCACATGGTTTCCTTTTTTTCATGTTGTGTTGGTTACTCAGTGGCGCATTATGAAATGATGTCAATCCAAAAAACAGTAATATTATTTCAATCCCAAACAGCCTGTACCTCATGCAATAAAACATTGTGAAGAAACCAATGAACCAACAATCAATGTGACTCAGATCTACATCAAAGAATTGTAAAACCTTTCTCTTTGTTTTGTAAGACTGCGACAGTCACTAAAACCTTGCCCTGGGGCTGTCTGAATGCTATGTGGGCACTGGTTCATATCCTGGCTACTCAACTTCCCCTCTAGTTCCCTACTTGTGTCCGGGAAAATCAGTAGAGGATGGCCCAAAGCCTCGGGACTGTGCATTAACATGGGAGAGACCCAGAAGTTCCTGGCACCTGGTCTCAAATCAAATCTGCTTGGATCTGGCCATCATATACTTCATGAGCATGTGATGAATTCTACTACAGAAAAGAGATTATTGGGAAGGAGCCAAACTGAAATAAAAACATCAAAACACATGGGATACAGCCAAAAAAAAAGCAAATAGACAATCAAAAAACAGTATAGATTGGACTGTTGGAGTTAGACTTTCCATGATAGCTTCCTTATATGAGAGAGAATATATGGTATTTGTTCTTTTGTGATTGACTCATTTCACTGAGCATAATGGTTTCTAGTTGGGATCACCTGGTTGTAAACAGAATAATTTCATTTTTCTTAATATCTAAATAATACTCCATGGAGTAGATGTACCACCGTTTCTTTAACAACTCTTCCTTGGACACACATCTGGTTTGTTTCCATGTCTTTGTTATTTTAGATTGTGCAGCTGTAATACTGGACATTATGCAAGGCATATGCTTGCACTGAAAGAAATAAGACTAGGTTTGAACTGTAATAATGCAATAAGGTGAAGCAATTTACCATGGGCGGAGGGCAAGGGGAGAAGAGAGGGAACATCAGTGCCTATGAAATGTTGTTATAAAATGAAATGCAATAAAAAATATGTAAAAAAATAACTGAATAATATTCCATGCAGTAGATGTACCACCGGTTTCTTTAACCACTCTTCCTTGGATGCACATCTGGTTTGTTTCCATGTCTTTGCTATTGTAGATTGTGCTGGTGTAAATATAGGATTACAGATCCCCTTCTCACATGCAGATTTAACTCTTTTTGGGTATATTATTAGGAGCAGGAGAGCTGGGTAATATGGCAGGTTTATTTGCAATTTTCCAAGCACTCTCCATACTGATCTCCACAGTGGTAGTACTAGCCTACACTCCCACCAGCATGAAGGAGGATGCCTTTCTCCCTACATCCACACCAGCAGGTGTTGTTGTTTGAGCTCTGAATGTAGGCCAGTCGCATTGGATTTAGGTGGTACCTCCATGTAGTTTTCATTTGTATCTCTCTGATGACTAGGGAGTCAGCATCTTTTATGTCTGCTAGCGATTTGAACCTGTTCTTTTGAAAAATGTCTGTTCATTTTTTTGCCCATTTTGTTACAAGGTTGTTTTTGTCTGTCTGTTTGCTTGTTTGTTTGTTTTTGCTGTCCCTGTGCTTCTGAAGCTCATTGTAGATCCTGGATATTAGTTACCTATCACTTGTGTAGTATGCAAAAATGTTCCCCCATTCTCTTGGTTGTCCCTTAATTGTTTCCTTTGCTGTACAGAAACTTATTAGTTTGATGTGGTCTCATTTGCTCATTTTGGATTTGATTGCCTTTGCTTTAGACGTCTTTTCTAAGAAGTCTTTCCCTGTTCCTATATCTTAGACTGTGTTTTCTATGTTTTGCTTTAATCGTTTGATGGTTTCTGTGTGTAGATTTAGGTCCTTGAGCCATTTAGAGCTGATTTTTGTATAATGCAACAGGTGTGGGTCTTGCTTCTTTATTCTCCAAGCTGCTATGCAGTTGTCCCAACAGCATTTGTTGAATAGACCATGTTTTTTACCTGGATTGTTTTCAGTTTTCAAAGACTAGTTGACTATGCATGTGTGGATTCACTTCTGGTGTTTCTGTTCTGTTCCACTGATCTTCTCTCTTTCTGTACCAGTACCAGACTGTTTTGATAACCACTACTCTGTAGCATGTGTTGAGGCTTGGAATTGTGATTCTTCAGTTTGGTTTCTAATTTCCACGATAGTTTTAGCTATTCATGGTCTTTTGTGATTTCAGATGAACTTTTGTATCATTTTTATTTCTGAGAAGAATGCTATTGGGACTTTGATTGGGATTGCATTGAATCTGTATATTGCTTTTGGAAATATGGTCATTTTAATAATGTTGATCCTGCCAATCCAAGAACATGGTAAGGTTCTCCATTGTTCAAGGTCTTGTATTTTCCTTTTAAATGATTTATACTTTTCTTTTTTTTTTTTTTAGTTGAGGATTCATGATCATTTCTTTTTTTTCTTCTTCTTCTTCTTTTTTTATTGTTGCTTACATTGTATTATGTGATACAGTTTTATAGGTGCTGGGGATTCCCCCACCCTTCCCATACCCCTCCCCCCATGGTGGATTCCTCCACCTTGTTGCATAACCACAGTTCAAGTTCAGTTGAGATTCATTGCTTGCAAACACATGCCTAGCATAAAGTCCAGCGTCTTATTGTCCAGATAAGTTCAGTGGCCTCTTGGGGAGACCTTCTCTGGTCTGAAGAAAGGGCTAACAGAGTAAAGATCCGGTCAGTTAAAAGCCCCAACAAAACCTCAGTATCAATATACAACATTATGGAATTAATTGACATAGTATTGGGTAAACAATATGTTAAAAATAAATGCAAGTTCCATTCTTTGAAACATCTGGGTTGAGACAGTATCAATGACAGGTTCAAAAAATAACCAACAACCAAACAAAAATTACAAGTTAATTAACCTCTTAATGTTGTTTCTATGTAGTTGGTCTATTTTTGGCTATTGTAACTGCTTTAATATCTTCTAATAATGCTTGTATTTCTCATTTACTTTTACAATTGCAACAACTGCTACACCAGCGCAACTCACCGTTTTTTATTACACATATATGGGCTCATTCTTCTCTTCCTGGACCTATGACTCTTGGCAATTCTCATGCTGGTAGACTGACTGTATTTCTTAGTGCCCAACATGAACGTTGTGTTCTACACACTAATGCCAATCATTTGCATGTGAAATATCATATTCCTCTCCAAACTGTTCATTACATTTTAGCAACTTGCCCTACTTGTGCCCCTTTTTACATTGTATTCCTCACCCTGCAGGTGCAAATCCTTGAGGGCTAAGTTCCAACAGTTATGGAAAATAGATGTTACTCATATACCATTCTTTCCAAAACAATCATTCTTACATGTAGTTGCAGACACTTTTTCTAAGTTTCTTTGGCATAACCTGTGAGTTCTGAAACCACTTCAGCTGTTAAATCCTTTTTGCTCACATGTTTCTCAATTATGAAAATTCCCTCTTCTATCAAAACAGACAATGGACTTGTATATACTAGTAAAAGTCACAAAGCATTTTGCTTACAGTGGTCTATCCAACATGTTACAGGTATTTCCCATAATTCTCAAGATCAAGCTATTATTGAATGTGCACACTACACCCTAAAAAATCAATTATTAAAAAACCAAAAAGGGGGGATGTCATCCAGAGATATTCTGTCTCTAACACTCTTAACATTTAATTTTTAAAGTTGCCTCAGGGGACATTAATACTCCTGCTGACAAACATTTTTCTACATTCTCTGATAAGACTTTACAAAACCCTGTATGGGTAAAACAACTGAATAATTGGTATTCTGGAGCAACAATAACCCTTCACAAAGGTTATGCTCTTGTCTCTTTAGAATCTCCTATGGATCTTCTGAAAAACTGTGGGTTCCCTTACGGCTCTTCTGGCCTTGACGATGCAGCAACACCCTTGAACACAATGCTGCCCCTGGAGAAGATGGAACCCCCAGTGGAACTGCCACTAAGAACTGAAAAAGCTAAAATTGTTTAATATTCCTCTTGTTCCACTGCAGGTCAGGAGTACAGAGATATTCTCCACCTTCTTAGAATGTTTGAGGAAGACTTTAAGTGTAACTTTTTATTTATGGATAAATTATTAATGGTCTTAAACATTAGAAAAAACATAGAAATTTGCAGTGGGATCCAAGGACACCTCTGACACTCTCTTCAAGGAGGTTGTGTGTACAGAGCAAGAGGGGATTTCAGGGTGGAACAGGAGAATAAGAGGAGCTTCTATCCTAGTCCTGGAGATCCCAGTGCTTTCCCATGTGCTTTTGCTGCAGAAGCCATGGATAACTACCTCATCAAGAACATCAAGAAGTATATCCTGACTGCCAAGAAGATCACAAGGAAGGCAAGTGCACTCAAAGGCTAAAAACGCTCACTTCAGTCATTTCCTGTTGGATTTCTCCCACAGCATTGAAGCAGCCCCGTACCCTGCTCATAGGTTCTGGTAACATTGGAACTTCAGCCAGGAGCCCCTGGTGGTATTTAGAGATAAAATGATTGTAAATTTCCTTCTGGATTCAGAGGAGAAGCTCTCTCTAGCCCTTATTTAGTTGTAGGCTTTCTCTAGTTCTTATCTAGTTCTAGCCTTGGCTCCCAACCCTCTCTTACATCAATCATCAGAGTTGTTTGTGAGCCCCAAAATGAGTTCAGATAGACAGAGGCTAATAAAGGTCAGCAACTGATAATCACTCAGCTTGTATCCTACTGATCAGGTTTCCTATTTGGCTTTTCAGATAGACAGAGAGATGCAGATATAGAACATTTTGAACAGCTAGAACAAAGGCCAATTAACCTATAATCACTCAGCCTGCACTTACTGGTCAGGCTCTTTATTTGTTTTCCCTGGATTTTATTAGATAGGCTGTAGAATTAAATTCTTCCTCATTCACTAGGTTGTTGGAGATGTCCCTGCTCACCTGCCTAAGACTTTCCTATGATTTGTTAGAATTGTAACACTGTTTTGATTATCCTAAAATGCATGGAAATCTGTAAAATCATACTTGAATGATATATGTGGCAAAGTTTAAATTGTAAGTTAAGATTCTCCTCAAAACTTTCATCAATTGTTAATGCTAAACAAGATGTAACTGCATAAAAACTTTGATGTTAAATTTATACTCAGCTGTTACATGATGGATGTTAATGTTGATCCTTTCACTATTCCTGTGCCATTCTGATTTAGGTTAAATTCAAAAACATTACCTTAGGAGAAATTATAAGTTGTTATTTTTCTACCTTCTACCAGGGACCCCTAGATGCATTCCTGGAGAATGCCTAGCTGTTGTGGCCCCCTTTCTTGCCTCTTGTTCAGCAGGAAGTAGCCAGAATGATTGCCGGCCCCTATCCCTGCCAGCAACTGAGGGTAATTCTCCTGGGAAAAAAGTATTGAGGAGCTAGATGGGATGATAGGCACATAGGGTGTGTGGTCGCTGGTGAAGTCATCTTTGTATAATATATAATATTGTTTCTTCCCATGTTTCTGCTCTTCCAAGAGCAGGTCTCCCATGGCTACATCTTTCAGACCTAATTTTACAAAACACAGAAGGGGGGTTTGTAGAAGGACATTGTGACCCTAGAAGGTCAACGAGCACAGGATTACAGTTGGTTGGACAATATTTGTATGATAAACAACTGGATGGGTGCCTTTTGTGTGACTGATTGAATATACTTTGCATGAGAACAACCACATGGTTACCTTTTGTATACCTGATAGGGTATCATTTGTATAAGAACAGTTGAGTGGACAGTATGTGTGTGAGAACACTTGCTGGAATATACAAGACAAAAGGACTTCCAAACATAAATATAGAAACAGTTGATGGGTTTGTTGATGAGCTCAATACCTCCACCCTAATTTTACATGACCCTCAGTGTATAGTCTGATGCCCCTAACAAATTTTGGCTATTGATCATCAGTCAGTAGTCCACACGTGTTATTATCAGCTCTGTGTATACCAAGTCCATCACTGTAGGACAGCGACAGACCTGACTCTAATAAACAGGTGCATTCCTTTCTTGATGAATTTGTAGCTTTCAAATAATTCACCACTGATTCATAGAAGGAATGCACAACCAGTCCTGTTTGAATGCCTTGAAGTTTGATACTCATATTTTTGTTATTTTGGAACTATTTTTGGTACATTTACTCAGAATATTATAGATTAGCATTTCCAAGAGAGTGTGTTTCTAGATTTTATAGCTTTGGCCTTTGATTCTATTAGTATTTTTTGAAATCTGCCTGGGGAATAAATAGGATTAATTCATTCATTGAAATCAAAGAATTCCCTTTTGTTCTTTAACTAACCGAACATCTACAGTGGTTGGGACTGGGCATAATTAATCTTGTAGTCAGAAGCTCAATCTGGGTCTTCCCATAAATAAAAAGGTTTCATCTGCTGGAACCTTACATGCTACTTCCCAGTTGTGTACCTGAGTAGGAATCTAGAATCAAGAACAGATCCAAGACCCAAATCTAAGCACTCTAGTTACTGTATGTGTACAACCCAACCAGTCTTAACCACAATGCAAGTATTCTGAGCCCTGGCATTTGATATTTAGAAACACAGTCTCTTTTTCTGAAGAGCTACAGTGAATGAGCAACATCCATCGATGTTATAGTAATTTCCCTTAATCCACATATAAAAAGCCCAAGAAGGTTTCTATTTCTTGAAGAAAAAATTGTCAAATTGTCTGTCTTAAGAGTTCTGACCTAAATGGGAAAATTTCGCAAAATCATGGCTAAAATCACCTCTGACTGTATGATGTTGTGGTTCCATTTGTCCTTACCTATGTCATAGGCTAGTCCTGTAATATTTTTCCATTGGCAGGATGCTGTTAAAAACACAGGTGAAACAGGTATTGAAGAATCAATTTTGGAAGGCCACTTGGGTGTCACAAAAGAGTTGATGGCCTTTCAAACTCCTGAGCAAAAGTATTACATTGGTTGTAAAAAAGGAGGTGCTAATCTTATTAAAGTAAGTCCTGAATTTTAATGTTAAACTAATTATTACAATTCTACAGATGTATTTGAGTTGTTTAGTATTACCTTTTGAGACAGTATTTTGATAGTGTTTATAAAGCCTTTGTCTTGAAGGAGTTTACTAAAATTTTTAAACATCTGCCTAACTTGTTAAAATTTATTGTAGTAATTATAAAAAGACAAATGAAACTCTTTGGGATATAAGTTAGCAGCGTTTCTTGGATTTGCGTCTTAATAAATTAAATTTTTGTTTGATCATATTTCAGAATGGGGAATATATCATCTTTACAGATTGACATAGCCAAATTCTTGACAGTTTTACAATATTAAAACTGAAAGAAAAGTTCAGTTCTAATGGATTTTAATTTTCAGTTTTATCTGATTTAAGGATATTCTATGTCAGCTTTCTTTTTTACTGTTTTTAAAGTATCTACAAAAAGTTTGGTTTGTTAATTATACCTAGTAATTTTTAATTATGGCTTTATTTTGTTAGAAAAGCAAAAGTTGTTTTGGGGATATAAAGTTTGGTAATCTCAAGAAATTATGCAAGTGTTTCTTTCAAGAGACTTTTTCTAAAACATTTTATTAATAATAAGTGACTTTTCTTAACCTGTAGGAATTAATTGATGATTTCATCTTCCCTGCATCCAAAGTTTACCTGCAATATGTAAAAAATGGAGAATTGCCAGCAGAGCAGGCTGTTCCAGTCTGTGGTTCACCAGCTACTATCAGGGCCGGTTTTGAACTGCTTGTAGCATTAGCTGTTGGCTGTGTAAAAAATCTCAAAGAGGTAGTAGACTGTTTGACTGAAATGTATTACTTAGACACAGCAATAACTAGTAAGTATTTTAAAAAGTTTATATTGGTTGATGTCCTTATGTTTATTCTGGTTTTTTTTTCTGTTTATTTTAAAAGCCATCCATTTGTTTTATTTTAAGCAATTACTGATAACATTTTTAATAAGTATATAATTAAGTCCATTATATAAGCCAGATAAACTTAATATAGAAAATTTTGCAAAATAATAAATTCTTCTGCAGATGTTTTATAAAACATTAATTTATATAATTATTTCCATAATGAAATTTTTAAATTCCTTTACAGCAAAAAAATAAGTCACAGTTATTTTTATTAAATTTGCTTATTGGGAAGATTTTCAGTCCCTAGTGTACATGTTACTTCATTTTCAAAATTAAGTTTTGAAAAAGATATAGTTGTTTAAAGATATAAGGATGTGAAAGAGGAAAAAACTTTGTGATATTTTACGTTTCCATTGCAACGTTAGTTCCACAAGGTTAGTAACTATTTTCAGTTCCTGAAGGAAGTGGGAAAATAGTAAGTAACATAACAAAAATGATACCATTGAATCTCTTCCATTATATAAGCACTAACAAAATATAGCTACGTTTATCATAAATCTTAAGAACACCTAAAATTATGCAGAGAGAAGAAAAGGAGAGACAGAGAAAGAGCCTCCGTCTACTGTTTCAGTCTCCAAATGGCCACAATGGCCATAACTGAGCCTACCAGGAGCCAGGAGCCCTTTCCAAGTCTCCCATGTGGGAACAGGGATCTTGCTTTCCCAGGCCATAAACAGGGAGCTGGATGGGAAGTGGAGCAACCAGGATATGAACTAGCATTGATATAGGACACTGGCACTTCAGGTAAAGGATTAGCCAGTTGAAGCATTGTACCATATTTATTTCCCAAATGTAAAAATAAAATTCATTTTATATTCTTGGTCCCTTTTTCTATATAGATCTTCCTCATTCATTTCTCTTCATTTTGTAGTGTCTTTTCATATTTTGGTTTTGTTGTTTTCAAATAATAATATACAGTATCTTCACTTTGTTTTATTTTACATTTATTTATGCATCTGTCAGTAATCAGAGTTTATCTATTCCTATTTATTATCTTTGAGATTTGAATTTTAGTACATTCTTTCTTAATATGATCTATACAAAGTCAGTGTGGTGCTGCTCCTGGTTCAGTGCTAGGCAGAAAGGGATATAAAATGGACTTAGTTTGTTCTCAGTGTTTGCAAATACTCAATCTTACTAACTCCTCCTGATGAGACTGCAGCTATTCTGTTACTTTTTAATAAAAAATACAAATCTATGTGATAGTATCAGTTTTAATGAATCTAAACTATTATCTGAACGTAAGTGATGTATGCAATTAAAACAGAATGCTGCGGCTTTTTAATTTGTTTACATGAAAGATCTGACTCTGGCTGCCCTGTACAGCTGCTCACAAATTTAATTCTGGACTGCTCCAGTTGTGATCCACCTCCCTGTTAATGTGCCTGGGTAGGCAACAGGTGATGGCCCATATGCTAGGCCCCAGCACCTATGTGCAAGACCTAGAAGAGGTTCATGGCTTCTGTCCAGCCCCACTCTCCATTATTAAAATCTTGGGAAATGAACAGCAGTGGAAAATCAGTCTCTCTATCTCTGTCTTACTGTCTGCAGCTCTTTCAAATTAACACAAATTATTGTTTTTAAACATTGTGATTACAGTGAGTGAATAATTTTAGTTTATGGAAGTATTTTTAGGTAGGTAAATTTGTAATAAATAAAGCTACATAAAAACAATGGCAATAAAAACTTGAATGCTATTGTTGTGACACAAGGTAGCCACCTTATCATGTCGCAGCAATGTCCCATGTAGGCACCCATTTGAGTCCTGGATGCTTTGTTTCTGGTCCCAGCTGCCTCCTAATGTGCCTGGAAAAAGCAGCAGCAGACTACCCAAGTTGTTGAATCCTGCCACCTACATTAGAGTACTTGGCGACTGGGTCTTGTTTAGCTAAGCACTAGTTATAACAGACATTTGAGGAATAAGCAAATGGATGATTGAATGGTTTCTCATTGTAACTCTCACTTTCAGGGACAGATATTTTCAATATGCTAGTTCCCTGCAAGTGGCTGCAGTAGCAGCTCCAGGCCAGGCCAAAGCTAGGAACGTGAAACTGCATCTGGGTCCATCAGTGTCACATGGAATGCTGGTGTCATAGGCAAAAGTTTGACCTGTGTTACAACATCAGCCCAAAATACTTTTAAAATAAGTAAAAAGTACATGATGCTCTATGATAAGGACCTGGGCAGTTTTTAGAAGAGCTTAATAACTTTTCATGAAACAATTGTTGATAATATTTGTTAGCATATCAGGACTACCAATAGAGAGAGTGACTATTTCCTTACTATGAGTACCATTTTATCTCTCAGCTTATGAAGCACTTACTGAGTGGGAGTATCTGCCACCAGTTGGACCACGACCACCAGAAGGATTTGTAGGACTCAAAAATGCTGGTGCTACTTGTTACATGAATTCAGTGATTCAACAACTATTCATGATTCCTTCTATCAGAAATACTATTCTTGTAGTTGAAGGCACAGGTACTGATTTAGAGGATGATATGTGTGGGGAAGAGGAGAAGCAAAACAGTGAGGTAAATTCAGTTACCAATTTTTTTTTTTCCTGTATTTCAAATTGTTGTAATAGATGTTAGCCTAAGAGTTTTGAACTTTTATGCGATTGTTTTTAACTACATTTTATAATTGTCATAAGATCACTGAATTTAGTATTTACTTCATTAAGTAGGCAATGTCTAATAAAATTGAAACTTACATTTTGATGTTTTATCACTTTGTCTTAAATAAATTCTCTGGTTTTACGTGGTAAAAATATTTAAGTATTTGTACAAAAATACTCAATTTTATTTACTCCATAGTATATTTGTCAGTTTCATGATTTCTGCTCATTCTTAGGATTATTTCATTTTAACATTTTTCTCACATGGTTCTGCATGGTAAGAAAATAAAGTTGTTAAGTATAGTAAGTGGTCTATTAACATTATTAATTAAAATCAGACTGAACCAAAGCTATTTTATGCAGATTGTAGCAGAGTAAAAATTAGACTAGTATTTCATAGTATACCTAAGTATATCCGGAATGGAAAATAAAACAACTGGGGACTAGTTTATAGCCAAGCTGTTCATCTTAGTATTATGTATTCTTGAAGTATTGGAATCAAATGAAAATCAAAATATTTGAGTTGAAGTAACATGACTCTTTCTCTGTTTTTACATTTCTTTCCTGCAGTGATAAGAAATTAGGTCCTGTGTTATAAACAATTGCATATTGAGAATTTGAATTGTACCTCTTTCCACTGTCCTCACGTTTAACATCACATCAACCAGGCATTGGGTTTGGTTTTTTAAAGTCTCTCTATGAGGCACCTGTCTGTGTCTGATTAAGTTAAGAGAAAAGTTGAAATTTAAATCATATATGATTAGTGAGGTGTTGAGTTGTTGCAGAAAAGGTTAATCATACTGAGAAGACACTGTAATGAAATAGTGCCTGTTTTTCTTGACTGTAGCTCTCAATGGCAGAAATCTAGTATTATTTTCCTATATCTTAAACCTCTCGTAAAGAGCAAAACATTAGGAGAGATTTTCAAGAAATTCTGCTCTGTAGTTCCCAAGAGTTATGGCCTTTGGATTTCAGTCTGTTCTGCTACTCCAATTGCACTTACTGTTAATATCTGTATCTAATTTGAGTGAATAAATCTTTTATGTGAAAATAAACCATAAAATCGATAACAAAACTGCAAGAAGATAATTGAATGCTACAAAAGGCAAAATACTTTGTATTTTCAAAAAGAATACAAAATAATGTAAGTCATTTATTTTCTACTTGGTATTTGTTTCTGCTTCTTCGCAATACTTGTAAAGTTATCTCATAGTCTTATTTGATGGTCTCCAGGTTAATCTTGAACCTCGAGGTGATGCATTTGCATATCAATTTGAAGCCAAACCAGCATTAAATAAAAGTGAAGATAGGAAGGAGTATAACATAAGTGTTTTAAGGCACCTTCAGATCATCTTTGGTCACTTAGCTGCTTCTCAACTACAATATTATATACCCAGAGGATTTTGGAAACAGTTCAGGTAAATTATAGGGAGATAATTATATTAAGATTTATGAAAATCTCAAGGTTTTAAAGTAAAACTTGTGAAATATTTTGGAAATATTGTTATACTTCCAATTATGCATGCTGTAATATTATTACATTTAAGTTAAAATAATATTTAATTATTCAGTCACAAGTATTAAGTATCATTGCAGTATATCGTGTATAATACATTAATATTATACATGATTTTGACTACTGATTTGCTATTGAAAAATATTGATATTATGCTTTGTAAAATCTCAAGGTAAAAGTGCAAGGTACTAAAATATGCTGTGAGATATTTTTGTATTTTTATTTATGTGTACCATATGTTATTACATTTAAATAAAAACTAAAACATCTTAGTATCATTAAAATCCATTGCTTTAAATTTACTTAGTTGCTTTATTTTTCAAGTTGGATTGGATTTTAATTTTTTTGAGGGGATTTTCGAATTTGGATTTTGTTTGCATCTATGAGACATGAAGAAATTGCATAGCTTGCCCCCAAAGTTTTCCACTGTCTAGGTTTTCTAGACTGTATTTTATGTTTTGTGTATTGTTTTCTGTATTTTGTTTATTTGTAAGTCATTTGGTCCGTCATAGATACTCAGCTATACTTTATTATAAAAACTCAGTCCATATATTTGATATGTAATTGAGTAACTGTTTTCAACAATCTTTACTCATAATCTTAAATTATAATTGCATGTAATGATTTTTTTTAATTTCAGCCATTTAAAACTATAAAACTGTTAATTATTTAGAAATATTACATAGAGGGTGCGCCAAGTGTTTGCTGAATTGTATAATAAATGCAACCGCTTGATCAGATTGACACAAATAGAGTCCTTCTATTCAGATTTACAGTGATTTCAGACATGTTTCTTTTTCCTTTTGTGATATTAAAAGTTACCATTTGGTAATTTTTTTTAAAAGCCTAGTAGTTTTTATTGGAAAGGCAGATCAGATTTATGGAGAAAAAGAGAGACAGAAAGATTTTCCATCCATTGGTATTCCCCAAACAGCTTCAAAGGCTGGTGCTGGACTGATCCAAAGCCAGGAGCCAGGAGCTTCTTCACAGTCCCCCATATGGGTTCAGGGTCCCAAGACTGAGCCATCCTTGACTGCTCTCCCAGGCCACTCTCAGGGAGCTGGATGGGAAATGGACAGTTAGAACATAAACTGGCATGCATAATTGGTGCCCATACTGGTACATGCAAGGGGAGAGTTCAACCAGAGCTATATTATCAGGCCCAGTATCATTCATCAAGCATTATATAACTAAAGCAATCATTCTTTATTAATAAGCTACATAAAATCTCTAAAATAATTTGGTCTTCAGAATCATGATGGATGCCATTTTATTTTATGATTCTTTTTTCTTCCATTGATTATTATAGTTTTTTATTAATTACATTGCATTATGTGACACAGTATTATGGGCACTGGGATTCCCACAGCCCCTCCCTATACCCTCCCCCTCTCCCCCCGTTGGATTCCTCCACCTTGTTGCAGTATTACAGTTCAAATTCAGTCGAGATTCTTTCATTGCAAGCATATATCAAGCATAGAGTTCAGCATCTTATTGTCCAAGTAAATTCAGTGGTTTCTTGAGGAGATCATCTCTGGTCTGAAGGCAGAGATGGCAAAATAGCATCTCGATCAATTAAAAGCCCCAACATAACATAAGCAACAACTTACAACATTATGGAGTCAATTGGCACGGAATTGAGTCACCAACATGTTAAAACTTGCAAGTTCTTAACCACATCCTATGACTACTTCATTGACATTTCAATGTTAGTTTACATAAAACTGGCTGCTATACACCTTAAATGGTTATAGGGTACTATTCAGCTGTCCTGTGTCTATTTTCATTTTAGTATTTAGCAGTTTATAGTGTTGAAGCATAATTTTTATTGAACAGATTTTAGTATAGTCTAAACTGGCTTATAACTCTAACCAGGCATTTGTCAACAGTTGAGGTGCAGAACAGTTTTAGGAGGGGTATGCAGAGAAATTTCAGTACCACAGTGAGAAGTAACTAATCTTTGTGTCCCACCTAGTAAGGTATATGTGGATCCACGCTGACCGTTTCCTGTCTGCTTCTAAGCTTTCCTTGTTGTTCTCTGTCTATCTGATCTAATTTTCTTGTTTTGTTTTGTTTTTAGTGGGGGGCTTGGGGCAACCCTGATGGTCATTGCAAGAGAGGGAGGAGATCCAGAGTTGGAACTAAGCAAGGATCAGAGAAAGCTCCTCTCCCTAGCCCCGAAGGAAGTTTACTGTTCTTCTGTTTCTGCGGACCACTCAGGGCTCCTGGCTGTTATTCTGATGACCTTGGATCCTGCGAGGAAGGATTTGGGCTTCTTCCTTCCCATGTGGTAGATCCAGATGGGGGTGGGTGACCTCAGAGTTCTCGGGCTCCAAAGGCACTCCAATTCCCCATTGTCTCCTGGCAGTGGGATGTAGTCCTTGGTGCCCGTACTGATAGTCCTTGGGTCCTATCAGTCCTGTGGATATTTTAGGATTTAAAAATGAATTCTGGGGCCTAGCAGGATAGCGTACTGGTTAAGGTCCTTGCCTTGCACACAGTGGGATTCCATACAGTCACCAGTTTTTATCCCGGTGGCCCCGCTTCCCATCCAGCTCCCTGCTTGTGGACGGCCTAAAGCTTTGAGACCCTGCACCCGCAAGGGAGTCCCAGAAGAGCTCCTGGCTTCTGGCTTCTGATCAGCTCACCTCTAGCTATTGTGGTCATGTGGGGAGTGAACTATCGGGCAGATCTTCCTCTCTGTCTCTCTTCCTTTCTGTATATCAGCCTTTCCAATAACAGTAAATAAATCTTTTTAAAATAATGAATTGTGTAATTCCATAGAATCTTTCTAAATTGACTGAGTAAACTAAGTTGGAAGACATTAGGTTTTAACAATCAAAACAGCATTTTTTCCCAAATCAGTGTAGATCATTGGAATGATTTATATATATTTGTTTCCTTTCATGTGAAACATGTTATTTACTTTCCTATGCCCTCAATTGTTTTTATTCTGAGTTAAGCCGTCTCTTCCTCATAGTTTTTCCAGCATTCTATTTTTTATTCATTTAAAGTACTCTTAGCATTTTGCTTTTACGTTGAAGAGTTTCATTCAGATATTTGTCTACATATTTCTATTTCTGTATGTTTGAGTCATAATTACATAATTTGTAATTAATCACATTAGAAAAATCCAAATATAATATGCAATAGTTATATTTTCATAACATATTGCTATATCAATTGCTTATTTTTAATGTATATTTATATTTTTAATTTTAACCATACTAAACTATAATATATTCTAAAACCATATTTTGTCTTTTCAGTCATTTCCTCCATGTAATAGTTGAACTCAAATTTTATGTCAATAATGTTTCTATTACCTACCCTCTTCACATATGAATGTCTTAATAAAATTCATTTAAGATTTTTCTTTTGTCATATCGACAGGTATATTTCAATGTCATGCTAGTACATTCAGAATATTTGTACAGTCATTCACATTTCTGTTACCCAAAAAGAAGCTCCCCATGCACATTAAAGAATTATTCCTTTGTACCAACTTTTTAAAATTTTATTTTTAATGTTCACATAGTTAACAAGGATGCAAACTCATGAACCATTGATTTCCTTTTGTTCTATAGCAAGGGCGGGGAAAGAGAGCCAACCCTACCTTTAAGCTTTGCATCTAAAAACTACTTTTGTCATAATTTGAGTGCACTTACTTATAATGTTGTATGAAACATAAAATGTAATATGTGGCCTTTTATGTCCAGCATTTTTGACTAAACCTAATGTTTTCATATTTCACTTACATGGTGTTTAGTTGTGTGAATGAGTTAAAAGTTGTTTTCCCATTCACTTATTTGATGAAGGTGTAGGTGGTATTCATCTTTCCTGATAGGGCCCCTGTAATATATTCCTTATAGCACATATAGAGTTTAAGTGAGTAGATTTCTTTTTGTACACATGGTAGTGCAATGGCTGGAATACCAAATTCTGCTTTTTACTTTTTGAAGAACAGTAATATACTTCAGTCCCTGTAGCATTCTAATTTTCTGTTGGTAAATTAGAGAGGGTTACAATTTGCATTAACACCAAAGTTTTCTATCTTCCCATAATTTTTATTTTAACTCAAGTAAAAAATTTGAATTATGTCTCATGAATTTGATCCACATTTTCCTTCTTGTTAAACATCTTTTCATGTATTTGTTGACCATTTGTGCTTTTCAAATATCTACTAAATTGGAAGAACAAGTCTTTATTTTTGCATTTGTGTGAATCTAGAGCCCTACTAAAATAAAAAGTTAGAAATAATTTGTTTTACTTTTTGATTGTCATTTCATATATTTATATTAACCTTTAATATATAAACTTCTAAAGTTTGAAGACATATTTACCTGTGTTTTTTCCTTTGTTAAAAGTAGAGAAACTGAATGTTAAATAATCCTCAAAAAGGGAAAAAATTCAAAACAAACAATCTTCACTATTGAAAGACTAAGGATTGGAGATCAACAGCGAAGTATAATTTTTATCATTTTTATTCAGTGTATTATTGGCGGTTATAGTCAGAGCCCATTAAGCAAATGGGAAAAATAGACATCTGATCTGGAAAGCTGAAGTGGAATATCTGTTAACACATAACATGATCTTAGATATATGAAATAGTAAAGGCATACTCCTTGACCCAGAATACACCTGGTTTTTTTGTTGTTGTTGTTTTGTTTTGTTTTTTGTTTTGTTTTGTTTTTTTTTGTATGAAGGATACATTTGTCTGGCATTCTGTTATAGAGCTTTAAGCCATCATCTACAATGCCAGCATATCACATATCACATAGGTGCTCAGGTTCAAGTCATGGGTATTCCACTTGTAATCCGGCTCCTTACTAATGTACATGGCTAAACAGCAGAGAATGGTCCAAGCGCCTGGGCCCAGAATCCATGTGGGGAAACCTGGAAGAAGCTGCTGTCTAAGCACACAGCAGACATTTGATCCACTAGATTTCTTTGTGGATGCCAGTTTATTACTTTGTTACTTACGTACCATCTAGTTTGCTGCTAAGTTATCTTGGGAAGCAATGGAAGATCTGGGTCCTTATGAGCGTGCTACCCATGTGACAGATTTTGGAAGCTTTTCACTCCTTGCTTTGGACTGGCCCAGTTCTGGCTGTGACAGCCATCTTGGGAGTGAAATCGGCGGATAGGAGCTTATTGTCTCTGTGTATAACTGCCTCTCAAATAAATATTTTTTCATAATATTTGCTAAGATGTTTTAACACAATAAATACATAGAATCACTTTCTAAACTTTACGCAGAATCACAAGAGACCTGTAATATTATTTTCCCCCACCCCACCCCAAATACTAAGAAACTAAGCTGATTGCAACAAATGTACAATGTTCCCAGTAGTATTTGATGCCAGAACCTGGTGCCATGAGAGGAAGAGTATCACCAAAACTAAAGCTGTTAGATATTTCTGCAACTGATCCACTGAACTTCTTTCAGTGCCAGCCTCACATAACCCCATAGCCTTGTCTAGACATGGGATGATTTTCTGATTCGGCAGTGTTTGAGAGCAGGAAGTAGCCTTTTATGCCAGATAAGGAAAGGGAAACCCTCACAGAAAAAATCCAAATCGCAGAAACAGGAATAGAGCTAAAGCAACTGAGGACAAAAATGTAGAAGCTGATGAAAAGAGCAGTAAAAATGAAAAAAAAAAAGTTTTAATTAAATTATTTGACCTTAAGTCAAAAGAACAAAACAAAACTCACATTGAATATTGGTATAAGCTGAAAATGTAAAAGCTCTTAAGACTCAGCTGAACCTTACTTTATGTATGACCATAAAACTTTAAAAACTGTCAAGGTAGCAGGTTTATTTGAAAACTAGAGGAGAAACACAAACATTTGGAATATTACAACAGGCAGTGGAATATCCTTCATTTACCAGACAGTCCCCAGCTAGACAAATACAAATGAGGAGGCTGCCACATCAGGTGTTAAAGCCCAGGAAGAAAGAGAGTCCGGATGAGGGCTGCAAAGAGGAAACGTTGATGATCTGAAAGCTCTATGGTTTAATTAGGAATGTAAAAACAAACAAATCTTTTGCCACCTTTACTTATATTAGTTAACTATTACCTAATAAGCTCACACATGTTGTGTGTTTAGTCACAGAATTGGGTACAATTAGTTCTACTAATTGGGTAAAATTAGTAATGCCATTCTACAGATCATGACAAACAGCTTGCAATCAAAGGAAAATTTCTACAGAAGCAAATAGAAAATAACCTGAGATGATATATTAAGACATGTTGCTTGACATGCCAATAACTAGACACAATCTTGCAGGACATCCACTGAAATATCACACTTTTTGGCATATGGATTCTTTATTTTGATAATGACCTGTTTTGATGTTTCAGTATTTAAGTAATCATCCTTATGTCAGATTTTCAAACGAGTTCATATATAGATTATATGTAATATATGTAATATACAGCCTTAAGCAATGGAAAGCAGCATCTGTGTTAGGTGTAGGCATTCAAAATAGCCAAAATGGAAACAACCCAACAGATGAATGGGTAAACCATCAAATGTTTTTCAGCCTGAAATTCTTTCTCTCGCTCCCTCCCCTCACCATTAGTCCTCATTTTATATACACACAGTTGGGACTAAACCATAAGTTCAATTAGATTGCCTAAAATTGTTGTCACACCAACAAGTTATGGTAACTTCTACCATGTAAAATCATTTCTACTATGAACTTTACTTTTTTGTTTAAGTCTGTACATGGTGCATATTTTATTTCATTTTTTGAGGTAAAATCTCAGTTTGTACTATCTTTTCTGGTAGTACATAATTTATATTTATTCTAAGGCTACATATATATCTCCATTCATTTTTCAGACTTTGGGGTGAACCTGTTAATCTCCGTGAACAACACGATGCTTTAGAGTTTTTTAATTCTTTGGTGGACAGTTTGGATGAAGCATTAAAAGCTTTAGGCCATCCTGCTATACTAAGTGAAGTCCTAGGAGGTTCCTTTGCTGATCAGAAGATTTGCCAAGGCTGCCCACATAGGTAAATATTTAATTGTTTTAAGTATATGCTTTTAAGTTCATATTTTCAGAAAATAGGATAAAGGAATATATTTAATTATATTTTTAGTGTGTGCTTTTCATCTTTTCAGAAAATAGCATAAATAAAATTAGTATGTGTTAGACTTATAAAAAGTAGAATGGGACCACTCTCCAAGTGGCTGCAGTGGCGAGCACTGAGCCAATCCAAAGCCAGTAGCCTGGAGTCTCCTCTAGGTCTTCCACAAGGATGCAGAGTCCCAAGGCTTTGGGCTGATCTTGACTGCTTTTCACAAGGTCATAAGCATGAAGCTGGGTGGGAAGTGGAGCAGCAGTAGAGAATAAAACTGGTGTCCATGTGGGATCCTGGTGCATGCAAGGCGAGGCCTTCAGGTTACTGGGCTAATGTGCTGGGCTCATTTCTCATTCATTTAAAATGCCTTGGCTAATACTTGGGGTATGTTATACAAAACAATCTATCAAGAGTAAATAAATAAGTGGACAACTTACCAGTACACAGGTTAAACCTTTACCTACAATAGTGACATCTCCTATCAGAATATTTGTTAACTACACTTTCTCTCCAGCTCTGCTAATTCACTGGGAAATCCATATAGGGAACCTTGATAGAGTGCCTGGATCCTGACGTAAACCTGGTCCAGCAACCAGTTGTCTCAGCCATTGGAGATTGAAGCAACACATGGAAGATATATTAAAAAGGAAATCTAACAAAAAGAAATTGATCTATTAAGATGATCAGTAAATTAAATAACAGTTGTATTGGTCCGGAAAAGACAGTTTCTACTTGCTTTGTTGCAGCTTTATTTTGAAGCTTAGCCTCACTTTTTATTTATGTAAAACTTAGTGTGCAAAAATGCATTAAGACAATGTTTTCTACAACCAGCCATTATATAAACACAGGACATAAATATGTAAGTGGAAATAATTTGAAATAAAAAGTAATATTGCTTAACAAGGAATGTTTATCAAGTTATACCATTGTTTTTCAATCTATTTATTTATACTTTTTGTCATATTAGAATACTGCAGTTTTTAAGCTTTGTTTGTTTAAACCACAAACTTTAAGAGTGATTGTATCTGTTGGTTCACTTCCTAAGTGGCCAAATGGCTGGAAATCTTGGTCCAAAGCCATAATTCAGCAGGGTTTCTTCCAGGATCTACCACCTATGAGGCGAGGGTGGGAACAAGGAGTAGGCCATCTTCTGCTTCTTCTCACATGCATTAATAGGGAGCTAGATTGGAGCTGTGGTATTTTTATTGGATGCCAGCATCCCATGAAGCCATTTTACTTTATGTTTTATTATTGTTTTTATGTATTTGAAATATTTTCATAAAGAAAGAGACAGAGAGATCTTTTCACCCTAAATGGCTGTAACAACCAGAGATAGGCTGGCTTGAAGTCAGGACTCTGGAAATTTTTCCAGGTCTCCCATATGGGTAAGAGGATCTCAAGGTCTTGGGTCACCCTCCTGTTTTACCAGGCCATGAGCAGGGAACTGGATAGGAAGTTAAAAACCATTGTCATCATGGGTTGTGGGCACTATTGGCAGCCTTAAGCCACAGTGCTGCTCCACACATTCATTCTTAATTAAAGATACTTATTATTTCACTTATTTTAGCCTGCTTTTGGTCTAAAAACCTTTTTTCATCAAGTAGAATGCAGTAAAAAGCATTTGGCATTTTTTTTTTTTTTTTTGATCACCAAGTTGTTCATGTTTTGGTCTCTTTTGAAAAGTAATGGTTGGGCCCAGCGCGGTGGCACAGTGGTTAAGGTCCTCGCATTGCACGCCCGGGATCCCATATGGGCGCCAGTTCTATCCCAGCAGCCCCGCTTCCCTTCCAGCTCCCTGCCTGTGGCCCGGGAGAGCAGTAGAGGATGGCTTAAAGCTTTGGGACCCTGCACCCGCGTGGGAGACCTGGAAGAGGCTCCTGGCTTCGGATCGGCATAGCATCGGCCATTGCGCTCACTTGGGGAGTGAATCATCGGACAGAAGATCTCTGTCTGTCTGTCTCTCCTCTCTGTATATCCGCCTTTCCAATAAAAAAATAATAAAAATAAATCTTTTAAGAAAATTTAAATGAAAGAAAAGTAATGGTTTATTATACTAAGTAAAATTTGCCCAGAGCTCAAAACATATCCCAGAAGGACTTGTATCATTAGGTAATAGCAAGATGACTTGAGTTCCATACCTGTTACAGTTCATTACTGTTTAGAATATCATATTTTCATATACTCTTTAACAGTGATATATTTTCTTTAAGATATCTGTTTTTTTTCTTTGTAAGTCAGTTTATGATTTCATTCCAGCTGACTCAATATATAATATATAAATGATTTAGGGTCCTTTATTTTGATTATATATAAATATGATCCTTTATCAAAATAAAGGACCCTAAATCATTCTTACATTAATGATATAATAAATGCTGAAAATATACATTTTTTTAGCACATTCACAACTAAAGGCAACATACAGAAACCTGAGGAACAAACTTTTAATTGTATCTCAAATAATTTCTTTAGATATGAGTGTGAAGAATCTTTTACAACTTTGAATGTAGACATCAGGAATCACCAAAATCTTCTGGATTCTTTGGAGCAGTATGTCAAAGGGGATTTATTAGAAGGTGCAAATGCATATTTTTGTGAAAAATGTGATAAAAAGGTATGTGTTAAACAGGGATATTTTTCTTAAACATTTATTTTCATTTGACAGGCATATTCAGAGAGAGAAGGAGAGACAAAGATGCTCTATTCCCTGGCTTACTCCCTAGGTGGCCACAGTGTCCAGAGCTGAGCCGATCCAAAGACAGGAGTCAGGAGGCTTTTCCGGGACTCCCATACGGATGCAGGGTCCCAAAGCCTCTGGGCTGCTTTCCCAGGCTACAGGCACGGAGCTGGATGGGAAGCAGAGCAGCCGGGATACAAACCAGAGACTATATGGGTGCTGGTGCTTTACTAGGGGAGGATTAGCCAATGAATCATTGTGCTTGCCTCAAGCATTATAGGTTTTAAAAAATAATCATTTAATAGAACTAGAAAGCAGCAAACTAGTTCATGCTCATCTCAAAATTACCATCTGAGTTGTTTCTACTTAATTGTGATCATAGCCAAAAGAATAACCAACCTAATAACTAGTTTAGTTTAGAGATGTGTTTAATGATTTGTCAGGAAATAAGTATACTGCTGGAGTTTGAAAAGTTTGCATCTTTGCTCTAAAATAAATTGCTACCTAACTCCTAAAATTGGAAACCCTGTTGGAAGCATTCTCCCTAATTTTTTATGTATGAGTATCACACTTAAAATCTAAGAAGTTTGCTAATTATATATTGTTGTAGGTTAATTTTTAAGCAGTCAACTAATTTTATATTGTCTCTGGGCATTTAGTTTGTGGGGTGAACAAACTGCAGGGTTTGAAGTCAGTATACAATATAAGTAAACTGTCTTCGTTCACTATTCTTCAAGTTGCTGTTACTTTTTAACCTAAACACTTGTTATATTGGCATTTGGAAGATTTGGTGATTGCCACGTAAGGCTCTGTGGATTTTTTTGACACTCTTAATTCATATCTTTTAAATTAAAATAGTAGATAGTATTTTTCAAAGGACATTGAAGATTAATATAGATTCAGCACCTACTGTAATTACCTGGTGTCTTACACAAATGTTAGCTTTTTTATTGAAAGGCTTAAAATTTTTTTCAGTTTACTTACAGCCAGTTTTATTTAGGTGTAAAGTCACTATCAAAGAGCTATTGTTGTTAAGCTGCTGCCTTATGCATGGCTCCCGCATCACATAAGGATGCCTGCTCAAGCCAGGCTGTTCCAATTCAGGTTTAGCTACTGATAAAGTGCCAGGAAAGAGTAGAAAGTTATCCCAATCATTGTGCCCCTGCACTCATGTGGGAAACCCAAGTGGAATATCCAGCTGCTGACTTTGGCTTTTCCCAGACTGCGCATTGAGTCTACCAGCGGATGAAAAATTTGTTTTCCTCTTTTTCCCTTCCCTATAACTCTGCCTTTTAAGTGAATAACTTAAAAAATAAAAGTAAACATCAAATAAAATAACATTCAGGATTTTTTGGGCCAAATGGACCCAAACATTCAATAGCACTGTCTGTGTATAAAACTGGTTGTTGTAATTTGCAAAAATAAAAGACTACTTGTGTAGTTCTAATCTTGGTAACCATTTTTTTAAAATAATGATTACATGGTTGATCGTGGTGGGAAAGGATTGGAGTTTAGGGAAAACTGTGTAAAGTCATTGCATCCCAATTTTCTATTTGTTCTTATTGTTCCTGGAGTAAGGGGAGAAACAATGGGGGAATACCACTCATGAATGCACACATCCCAGCACCCAGGGACAGGAAACGGCCACCTCATGTGAACCCAGAGTCTCAATGTGTACATATTCCTAGGGTTTTGTCCAAGTGTTTTAGATAGTTCTGAAATGCTACCAATTTCAACAGTCCCAGGATGATGTCACCCTCTCAATGTCTGTTGGTTCCTATCCACCGAAATTTTTTGCTGGCATCATTTAAGTCTTGGTAACCATTGTTTAAAAGTTAGTTACAATGAAAAAAGAAAAAGTCAGTTACAATGAAATTACGGTAGTGCTATTCTTAAGCTTTAAGTAAATCTAAATTGGTTGAAAACGTTATAGTTTTTAAATTTTATTTGGATTACAAGATAACATGCATGTGTATTTTGCCTACTACAGGTTGACACAGTAAAGCGCTTGCTAATTAAAAAATTACCTGCTGTGCTTGCTATCCAACTGAAAAGATTTGACTATGATTGGGAAAAAGAATGTGCAATCAAATTCAATGATTATTTTGAATTTCCACGTGAGCTAGACATGGAACCTTACACGGTTGCAGGTGTTGCAAAACTAGGAGATAATATAAGTACAGACAGTCAGTTAACTAAAAAGAATGAGCAGTATGAAAATGAGACAGTAAGAAGCACAAAATACAGACTTGTGGGTGTGCTGGTACACAGCGGTCAAGCAAGTGGTGGACATTATTATTCATACATCATTCAAAGAAATAAAGACAAGCAGAAAGAACACTGGTATAAATTTGATGATGGAGATGTAACGGAGTGCAAAATGGATGATGATGAAGAAATGAAAAGTCAATGTTTTGGTGGAGATTACATGGGAGAAATACCTGATTATATGATGAAACGCATGTCATATAGGAGACAGAAAAGATGGTGGAATGCATATATACTTTTTTATGAAAGAATGGACACAATAAGTGAAGATACAGAGATGATAAGATATATATCACGTCTGACTATTACAAGACCCCATCAGATAATGATGTCGCCAGTTATTGAGAAGAATGTACGGAAACAAAATGTGCAGTTCATGCATAATCAAATGCAGTATAGTTTAGAATATTTTCAGTTTGTGAAAAAACTGCTTACATGTAATAGTGTTTACTTAAATCCTGGTCCAGGTGAGTTTCTGGAATTTACTTATTGATAAAGTATTGTTTTACATGTAGGTTCTGAGTAGATATCAAAATCTGTTTTACAGCTTTTTCTACAATTTTCATCTTTTTGTTGAATTATGATTCAAAGTTTGTGTAATGAGTCACCATTTTTTTTTTCACTATTCTGGGCTAGCAGCCTGCTACTACCATAACATACCATAACACTAGCCCAGATTTTATTTGATAGGAAATTTGAAAATAAAATACGTTTGTACTTCTCTTTCAAAGGACAAGATCACCTGTTACCTGAAGCAGAAGAAATCACTATGATTAGTATTCAGCTTGCCGCTAGATTCCTGTTTACTACTGGATTTCACACCAAGAAGATTGTCCGAGGACCTGCCAGTGACTGGTACATGGCTCTGGATTTCATTTGTATTGTCTTTATAATTGGTTTTGACTGTTTATGATATAACATGATTTGTTTTTCTATCATTTTTAAATTTCAGAAATCCAATTAAATGCTCATATTTGTACTAATCACAAAACTCCTGCAACAGTCGAACTACTAAATTCAACATGACCAAATTTAGACATCTAAATTTGTGAAAGTATTAGCTTTTAGTAAATTCATATGAGATTTAAAAATTAAAAAAAATTTTAAATGATATGTCATAAGTTACTGTTAGCTGAATTCAGCTGACATATTAAATATCTTGGTTTAACAGCTAAGTCTTATTTATATTTGGAGATGTTACTTTACTTTGAAAAAGTTAGCAAAAGTTTCACAGGCACTTTACATATTCTCATTTCACTCATTTTGTTACCAGAAACAGAGGGCTTGTCATTCATTAGATATTTCTGCTAGAAACAATCATGAACCTTCATTGTTAGGACATCCATATTGTTTGTCTTGAAACTTCTCTTCCCTAAAGTAATGAAAACCAGTAGATTGATACAAAGTGATACTCAATTAGTATTTCTGTTGCAGGTGTGATGTCCTGTGCATTCTCCTCCGTCACAGCAAGAATGTACGTTTTTGGTTTGTGCATAACACACTTTTCAGTGTGTCAAATCGTTTGTCTGAATACCTTTTGGAGTGCCCTAGTGCAGAAGTCAGGAGTACATTTGCGAAGCTTATAGTATTTATTGCACATTTTTCCTTGCAAGATGTTTATTGTCTTTCAACCTTTACATCTCCAGGACCTTGTAGTCAGGTAATTATGTAATTTCCTATTAGATATCAAATATCTGGAAATAAATTTTGTATTTTCCCAATTCAGATAAATTAATATATGTTCTTGCACCATTAAAAATCCATTAAAAATTTGATACTTCACCTTATACCTGAGTAGATTTTTTCCCATGATTTTAATTTTATAATGGTTTACTTTAAACCTTTGTTGAGTAACTTTAACACAGAGAGTCTTGTAGATTTTTACAGTTGCAATAGCTGCAAGGATATGCAATGAAGTTTGTCACAATTCCTTGTTCTCTTTTAAAAAGAAAAAGCATCTGTTTGTTTCTTGCCATTTTGATAAGCACAAAAAAGATTTTTAAAATATATTTTATAAAGCATTATTTCTTTTTCTTGGAAAGTTAGATTTACAGAGGGAGAAAAGACAGAAAAACACATATTCCTTCTGAGGGTTCACTCTCCAGGTGGCCACAATGGCCGGAGCTGAGCTGATCCAAAACCAGGAGCCAGAAGCTTCTTCTTTCAGGTCTCACACAAGGTGCAGGGTCCCAAGACTGACCCATCAACCACTGCTCTTTCAGGCCACAAGCAGGGAAGCTGGATGGGAAATGGGATAGCTGGGACATGGACTGATGTCCTTGTGGGATTACAATACTGCAAGATGGAAGATTAGCTTTTGAACCATAGTACTGGTGCCCTAAGATTTTTTTTTTTTATGTAAAAAGAATTATACTGTTTCTATTTGGTATTGTTAGCAAAATAATGAATATTTCACTCCTACAGGAATGTGATAGCTTCAGTTTGAGTGATCATTTACTAAGAGCAGTACTAAATCTCCTGAGAAGGGAAGTTTCAGAAAATGGACGTCATTTACAGCAGTATTTCAATTTGTTTGTGATGTATGCCAATCTAGGTAAGGAATTACATAATTCTGTTTTTTTATAGTTATAAATTAAATGATGGAAATGGGTGTGATCAGGTGATGAGATAATTCACTTTAAAGTTGAAACATATTCCATAGTCATATTCTAAAGCATAAATGAAAAATTTTAAACCTTTTAGTGATGTTTTTCATCTTGAACTATAATTTAAATAGCTATATTTTTTTCTGACAATATTTAACGTAAAACTCTGTTTCTCATTCAGGTTTTTATTTCCTCAGTGCCATTTACTAAAAGTATCTCAAATAATTATGGTACTTACCAGTTTCAGAATTTACTTGTAAAGGTATTTTTAAAGAAACTGAACTAAAATTATTAATGCTGTTATGTATTAATGATTAGCTAATCATCATCAATAATTATGAAAGTAATAGTACTATTAATGTAAAAATCACTGTGCATCTAATCTTAATTTTAAGGTACATAGACGATATTTACAAAACTGCTCTTAAAAATGTGTAATAAACATGGCATAATTTTCAGTACTGTCAACAGATCCTCCTTAAAGTAATCCAATATTTCTCACATTACTTGTTTTTTGTTTTGTTTTTGTTTTTTTAATTTTTTTTTTTAATTTTGAAAATCCTTACATAGTTAATTAGGGTAAAAAGGTTCAAGGGCTACAGGAAAGTGGAAAGACTATTATTTTTTCCATATTGTTTCCTTCATGTTTAAAGGGGGGTATTAAGGGAGAAGGCCCACCCAATTTCCCACCCACCCCAGGTGCCGGATGTGGGGCATGCTCTGAGGGTCTTGCTCAAGTGGTTTTGATAGTTGATCAGTATGAATTGCTGCCAATCTTGCCACTCCAAGCATGATGAGGTCTTTGAAAAATCCACTAATTGACACAGTCCATCATAGCTGAGATGGTTGGTTGACCTGTTCTGTCTTCTTCACATTACTTGTTAAAATCTTTTCCATAGAGACTTCATCATGTTTTCCTAAAATATGCTAATGCCATTGTGTTTTGAAAACATTTAAAATTTTGCTTACTGCTGACTAGACTGCAGAAAATCAAAGGCTTATATAATACATGAAGTCACTTTTTTCTTAAAGGAATGGAATATCATTTGATGGGTATATAAATGATTTCAGTAGTGTTTTATTTTGCAAAGAAAATAAAAATTCATATTTTGTGAAACATGTCACATAAGATATCAAAAATACTAATTTGTTGACTTTTCATCTAAGGTCACAGTAATTAAAACAGGCTTAATTGATTCAGACATTTGGCAGTTTTGTGCAGACTTTTCAAAAAGCATAAAAGGCCCAGAGCAATAGCCGAGTTGCTAAATCTTCCTCTTGCATGCAAGGATCCCGATGGGAACCATTCATGTCCTAGCTGATGCACTTCCCATTCAGCTCCCTGCCTGTGGTCTGGGAAAGCAGTCAAGCACAGCTCAAAGTCTTGGGACCCTGCACCTGTGTGGAGGACCCGGAAGAACTCCTGGCTTCAGATTAGCTCAGCTTCAGCTGTTGCTGCCACTTGGGGAGTGAATTAATGGATGACAGCTCTTTCTCTCTGTATATGTGACTTTCAGTAACAGAAAGTAAATATTTTTGAATTAAAAATTAGTATACACATTTTTATAAAGTTTTCCCTGTAAATCTGGTAGTCAACTATTAGTACGTTCATGTTTTCTCAGAAAAAAATTCTACAGTTTTTCCTTTTTCATTTCTAGCATTTCTCTTCAACATGACTGTAACTGAGAGTAATATCAGGTTTCAGGATTTTTTTTGTATTTTAGAAAGTTAAAACAATGCATTTGCTTGTAACATATTTATGTAATGATGCTAATATGTCAGCACCCTACAATCATAGATGTTAATATTTATGTAATGAATAAGGAATGTTTACCTACAAAGAACTACAAATCAAACCTTAACAACCTAAGTTAAAAGAATGAATAAACTACATGAGAAAATGAGTTGTGTCATCAAATTAAGAAAGATTTTTTAGGGTCCTGGCACAGTAGCCTAAAGGCTAAACTTGCATGTGCCAGAATCCCATATGGATACCAGTTCTAACACCAGAGGCCCCACATGCCATCCAGCTCCCTCACTGTGGCCTGGGAATGCATTTGAAGAATAGCCCAAAGCTGTGGGACCATTCACCCCCATGCATGGAGGCTGCGGGCTCCTGGTTTCAATGGATATAAAAATGAAATGAATCTTTAAAAAGTAAAAAAGGAGAATCAAGGTGGCAGTATAGGATAAGGAAACATTTAAACAGATGGAGAAATATTAGCCAGTGTGAAGCAGAGAGGGCAAATTCCAGGAAATAGGAGAGGACAGAATGACGGCAAAAGGATACCTGGAAACTGACAGACAGGAAAGCAGGGGAAAACAATGGTGTGGTGTTGCAGTGACTGATACTCCAGTGGCATTCAGCTAATGGCGATCTGAACTCCACCAGAAACAAAGTGGGAAGGGACTTGCACTGGGAGATTGGGAGGTGAACCCAGACAAAGAACTGTCTGTCCTGCTGGTATGTTTGTTTTAACCAGGAGCAGAGACAGAGCAGCAGGTCCCAGATGTGCACTGGTCCCACAGGAAAATAATACTGGCATCATATAGGTCAAAATAGGTCCATTTGGCCCTCAGACCTAATGGCCAACAGGTTCCCGCAAGATAACCATCAACAACAACCCAGCTATATAGGACACGTGGTGTCTACCTAATCCTGGGACCTGCTCCAAAGGAAGTGGGAAAAGGTTGTAGACAGCAGTGCAGCCTCAGCACATTATCACAGGAGGTGGAGAGTGGTGAGCCAGGAGCTGAGGCTACGGAGATCACAGTGGAAATCTAACATAAGAACCCAGACCTGGAACTCACTGGAGGGAGTGGTAAAACTGGCTACAAACGAACACCATGTGCCAACCACAATAAGTAAAATCGAACAGTAGTCCTGTGAGTGACACAGCTTAGAAACCTGCACAAAGAGAGGAATATGATTACCAGAAGTACAATGATATAGAGCAAAAGAAGAGACAGAGGCACAATGAATATTACTGAAAAATCCCCTGCAAAGGAGCAAACCCCTTGCCAACCTCAGTGTTAACTGAGGAAGACACTGAGAGAATGGAGAGGATACAGAATTCAAAACACTTATTATAAAGCTTCAGATCCACAAAAAGAAGCATGTAAAGCAGGCATTGAAGAAATTTAAGGAATACGTCACACAGGACATGAATCAGACAAAAACTGATATATCAGATATTAAGAGTACAGTGGAGCAAATTGAAAGTACACTGGAGAGTCTCCAGCATAGAATGAAGGAGGCAGAAGAAAGAATCTCAAAATTAGGATATTTTTCCAGTCACCAGGGGAAAATAAACAAAAAGCTAGAAGCAGTAGTGGGTCAAGGTAAAAAAAAATTTTTTTTCAAGAATTAAGACAAACTATTAAAAGGCCAAATCTAAAAGTTACCCAGACTGGCAGGGTAAGCTGCCAGCTGTAATACCATATTGTTTATGTGTGCCATCAAGTACTGGCGGCACTATTCTCTCTCTCTCTCTCTTTTTTTTGTATTAGTTTATCTTAGTTTTTTTATTATTATATTCTTGACAATCTTTACATAGTTAATTAGGGTAAAAAGGTTCAAGGGCTATAGGAAAGTTGGTAAGATTATTATTTCCATATTGTTTCCTTCATGTATGTGAGGTAAAGGGGATATTGAGGGAGAAGCCCCACCCAGTCTCCCACCCACACCAGGTCCTGGATCAGGGCATGCTCCGAGGTTCTTGCTCACATGGTTTTGATAGTTGATCAGTTATGAATCGCTGCCAATCTTGCCACTCCAAGCACGATGAGGTCTTTGAAGAATCCACTCAATGACTTAATCCATCATAGTCTCCATTTGTCTAGTATTTTGTTGCCAACATATAGCTGAGGTAGTTGATGGACCTTTTCTGTCTTCTGTCTTTTCTTGGTTAGGGCTATGAGTCTGGCATTTCGATCCCCAAAGAAACTTTGTCTGAGGTGTCCCCAGATTGGATTCTCATATGTGTTGGCAAGTACAGGGCCTGGCACAGTCCATCGTCCTGATCAGCTGGTGGTTGCAATCACTAGGCTGGTTCTGTTAGCAGCCCCGACTTCACTGGAGCCAATGGGGGTTGCAGTCCAGCCTGGTTCTGCCCAGCACACACTCGGCCCTCACATAAGCCAGTAGGGGCTGCAGCCTAGTTGGAGCAACCCACGGTAACCCCCCAGTAGGCCCGCCCCCTACCCTGGTTAGCCATATGTGCAGCAGACGAGTCCAGTCTGTCCCACATCCATTTGGCTCCCATACATGTCAATGGGTACTTAAGCCTAGTTCCATCTAACCAGGCTCAACTATCCAGCCCTCACAGATGTTGTTGAGTGCCTCTCTGTCTAGCCACCCCAGCCCCTGTCCTACTTTTCGTGCCCTCCCGTGCAAGTGGTAATCCAGGAGGGAGGAACCCACTGTTTCCCTCCCAGGCCTCTCACTCCAGGCTTGTGCTCTCTCCAGGTAGTTCTGTGGTTTGACTTGACAGAATTAGGTCCCAGTGCCAGCTTCTGCCAGCTGATGCCGTGCCTAAATCCCAACAACCCTCACCCACTCTAATTTTGTTTGCACCAGGAGGAATAATCAGCCTAGCCTGGCTTTTCCCTGATCTAGTCCATATGAGGCACACACGTGTTGTAGCCTTGTTTTGTCTGGTCTGTCCCCCATCCCAGCTCACACTCTCCAGCAAGGGGACCATCCCTTATTCCTCTGCCGGCTCCGCCCCCTCCCTTCCTGGTTCTGATGCTTGCTGGTTGGGCGCTATGGTCATATCCAGTACAGGCAACCTCACCTTGGCATTCCTTATTGTGCACTGGTTTTTGTCGCAACTGAACCTGGCTCGACCCACACTCTGTTCTGGTGCTCGGATTTGCCAGTGGATGATGTGAGCTGATTCAGCCTGGTCTGCCCCCAGCCCATGCCAAATGTATGCCAGTGGGTAACTTCCCATGGCCTGTTCTGGGCTGTTTCCTATCAGGCTTTTTGCACTCACCTGCAGGGTCTGTGTCCTGCCAGAGGAGTTGCCCAGGATCCTCCATCAGAACCTCTCCCAGTGCCAGATTTCGGGCATACCAGGGGGTCCATGAGCCAGCCCTAGATTTGATAGCATTAAACCAAGACAGTTGAAATAGGTAGCAATAGGTGGAGAAATGAGAAAGTACATATAGGCATTTTGTGTAGGCAGAGAAAAAAGAGATTAGCAATTTTTAATTTTATTACTTGATTTACCTTGTGTCATAGTGAATTGTTTTGGGCTTTTAAAAAATATTTATTTATTTTTATTGGAAAGTCAAATATACGGAGAGACAGACAGAGAGGAAGATCTTCTGTCTAATGATTCACTCCCCAAGCAGCGGCAATGGCTGAGCAGTGCCCATCCAAAACCAGGAGCCAGGAGCTCTTCTGTGAGTGCAGGGTACCCAGGCTTTGGGCCTCTCTCATCTACTTTTCCAGGACACACCAGGGAGCTGGATGGAAAGTGGAGCTGCCAGGGTTAGAACCGGTGCCCAAATGGGATCCTGATATGTTCAAGGCGAGGACTTCACCCGTTGTTCTATCATGTCAGGGTCAGCTTGTTTCAGAGTGAATTGTAGTGAGCCTTTGCTAAAGTCACAGAAAGTATGCATTTTCCTTAGCGCTCAAGTAAGATTTTAATGACAGACACACAAATCTTTATTTCAGCATTTTAAATGCACATAATCCTATTTAAGTCAATATGTATTTCATTCTGCACTGACTTTTCTAAACAGAGAAGCTAAGTTTTGTGGGGTTTTGTTTTGTTTTAAAAACAAAGTCACAAAGAGGAGAGACAGAAATCTCCCATCCACTGGTTCACTCTCCAAATGGCCATCATAGCCATAAATCAGTGGGCTACTTCAAAGCCAGGAGCCAGGGAGCTGCTTCTAGGTCTTCCATGTGAATGCAAGGACCCAACACTTGTGTCATCTTCCCCTGCCTTACAGGGTACATTAGCAGGAAATGGATAGGAAGTGAAGCACCCAAGACTTGAAATAGTACCCATGTGGGAAGCTGGCACCAGAGGCAGAAGCTTGGTATCATATGCCATGACATTACTTGCAGGAGATAAGATTTTAATCATAAAAATGAATGCAACTTTGCTAATTATCATAGCACTATTGTTTCTTAACCTTCTTGCCCTTCTTTTCTCCATTCTTTTTATAGGCATGGCAGAAAAGACCATCTAAAGTTGAGTGTACCTGGTATTTTTATACAGTATTCCAAATTTATGCTTTCTCTCTTCTTACAGGCCTGGCGGAAAAGACACAGCTTTTGAAGTTGAGTGTACCTGCTACTTTTATGCTTGTTTCTTTAGATGAAGGGCCAGGTCCTCCAATCAAGTATCAGTATGCTGAATTAGGCAAGTTATATTCAGTGGTGTCTCAGTTAATCCGTTGCTGCAGTGTTTCATCAAGAATGCAATCTTCAATCAACGGTAAAGTAGAATGTTTCATGTTTTTAATTTTTCAGTAATGAGAGTCATATAATACCTTACCTGTAGTAATTCTTAAGATATTAAAATGAAAAAAACAAATATTTTATAAAATCTAGAATATTTCATCTTAACTTAAAATAAATAGTATATACATTTTCATATGTTGTCTCCAGTTTTAGTATTTATATTTTTGCATTTTACCATCTTAGAGTATCTAGTCATTTAGTGAATTTTTAGTGTATTAAGGAAATATAATTTCAAATATGTATTTTAGGTAATCCTCCTCTTCCTAATCCTTTTGGTGACACTAACTTATCACAACCCATAATGCCAATTCAGCAAAATGTGGCAGACATTTTATTTGTGAGGACAAGGTATGTGAAGAAAATTATTGAAGACTGCAGTAATTCTGAGGAGACCATCAAATTACTTTGTTTTTGCTGCTGGGAGAATCCTCAATTCTCATCTACTGTCCTCAGTGAACTTCTTTGGCAGGTTAAAGGAAAATAAACACTTATAAGTCTATTTTTTTTTTTTTAGTAATTCTTCCAGTAAGTAAATTAATATTTTACCTCTTTTTAGGTTACATATTCATATACATGTGAGCTTTGGCCCTATTTGGATCTACTTTTGCAAATTTTACTGATTGAAGATTCCTGGCAGATTCACAGGTAGGTACTCCTTGTTAACATTATTTCAGTTTCTCAGTTTCTTAAAAGTAACTGTCAGGGGCCAAAAATATTCTCACCTTTTTAGCTCTTTTTAATGATATATATATATATATAATACATTTTAAAATTCCTACTGCTATTTCTTATCCATTGTTAATTTTTATTGTAAATTGTTAATTTAAATTTAAATTGTTAATTTCCTTGCATTTAATGTTTTTATTTTGCACTTGAAAGAAAACTAGCATACACAGGCTTCGGATAAGTATTTAATTATACAGTTTTAATTATGTTTTAAAATTAATTATTGTAGAAATATTTAGTAATTTATAAATAATCTTTGGCCTATACATTCTGATACATGAGAAATCATTACTAATTTTTTTGTATTTAAATTGTCCTGCTTACAGTCCTGTAAATATATTCCAGCATTGGTCTACAATAAAATTCCGTTTGAAAATAATGGCATAGAATTTACTGCCAGCTCATCTGATGGCCTTAGTTTTTTACAATATGATCTCAGAATACATTTATGTTAGGAAAATATATAAATATTTTCTGCTCTCTGTTAGACATTACAATAAACAAAGGGAAAACCTGAATATGCAATTAAGGTTTCAACTCAGCAGTGTTTAGAGATTGACATTGTGGAGTTAATAAGTAATTTACCTCGTGCAATGCCATCTTCCTGTATGGGCACCAGTTCTTGGGCTAGCTTCTCTTCTTCTGATCCAGACTGTTAGCTGTCCATCAGCAATTACTTGGTGCATGGAGCCTATAGTAACACATGTGGACTGCAGACTGGTGGTCAATAGCTATCATTTTATTAGTGGCCACCAGACTTTTTATAGACCAGGGGTTACATAGCATAAGGGAGGAGATACTGAGATTGTCTAAGGAACCCATTGTTTCTATTTCCTTGTCTGGAAGTCTTCTGTTTTGTATATCCCACCAAGTGTTCTCATTCACATCCACTCAGTTTTCTCATACCATGATGTCCAATCAGTTGCACAAATGGTATTCATTCAGTTCTCATACAAATACTATCCTATCAGTAGTAATCCTGTGTGCTGGTTGACTTTCTAGGGTCACAATGTCCTTCTACACCAGGTCTCTATTAATGGCCTGGGAAAAGCAGTGAAAGATGGCCCAAGTTCTTGCAATCATATGACAGAGCAAGAGGAAGCACCTGGTTATGACTTAAACCTGGCTCAGACCTCACCATTTCACCCATCTAGGGACTGAATGAGCAAATAGAGGCACTCTCTTTTTCTTGGTCTCTCTCCCAAATCTGAAATAAATAAATCCTTTTTGCAAAGCCAACTGCAATGAGATAAAAAATATTAAGACCCAACCTATAATTATTTATGTTACATGCAATTCAATTGGTATTTTAAAATTTGTTGCTTTTCAAATAGCATGTTTTTGATTTGTTTTTAAACATTTATCTATTTTTATTAGAAAGGCAGATTTTTAGAGAGAAATAGACAGAAAGATCTTCCATCACATTCACTCCCCAGATGGCCACCAAAGTCAGAGCTAACTTAATCTGAAGCCAGGAGCTTCTTCCGGTTTCTCATATGGGTGCAGGGTCCCAAGCCTTTGGATCATCCTCTACTGCTTTCCCAATCTACAAGCAGGGAGCTGGATGGGAAGTGGAGCAGGTGGGACACTGACTGGCACCCATATGGGATGTCAGCATCATCATGCTGGACGTTAAATAGTGTGTTTTAATGGTATCTACTTTTTTGTTTTTAAAGAATTCTTATAGGCATTATAGGGCTTATTCCCTTAAAATCCCCCTTTATCTCACATACAAGAAGGAAACAATATGGAAATAATAGTCTTACCAACTTTCCTGTAGCCCTTGAACCTTTTTACCCTAATTAACTATGTAAAGATTGTCAAAAATATCATTTAAAAATGGAAAAATTAAAATTAAAAAAAGAAATCTTATAGGCATATGTAATATAATTTGTGATTTCTACTGTTTGCTTTACATCAGTTAATTGTGTCTTGTAATATTGTTTTAGACCAGGAAATGGTAATAATAGAAGAATAAGTATTGCATGAATGTAGATGAATTGGAATTACCATACAAAATTAGTAAATTACTGCATTATTAAGTTCAATTTAAAATATTTGATATAATGAGTATTTGGTAAAAATTATTTGCAGCAGTACAATGCATGATATTAACTTTTGCACAATAGAAAGAGACAAGAAAATTTATGTTAGCTAAAATTATAAGCAATTGATGCCAGAAATGATATGGAAATATGAAAATTAAGTATTGATTATAACTGAAATTAAACATTCCACTAAAGTTGCCAGAAGAAAAGAGCATATGCATATGTTTTTATCAGATATTATGAAATTTTAAATTCAGAAAATTTATGTATGAATGTTTATAGGGAAAAGTGCTTTTGCTTGGAATGTATTAAAATTCCATAGCATATTACAAAGCTGCAGTTGAGTCTAGAATAGTTACAGTTCACTGGAGCTGAAAAGAAATAATTGATAACTAGTATATCAATCAAATTTTAGCAGTGTTGCCAGGGTTAATCTATACAACAACATGGATTCCAAGTTCAAGAATTCAGCTTTTTAACTACAAAGTATGTCATTTTTATAGTCCATGGGTTCTAGCTTCACCATCTGAAATAAAATTTTGTCAAAACTAATTAGAAGTAAATTGCCCTAGGGCCTGGTACAATAGCGTAGCAGTTAAAGTCCTTGCCTTGCACATGGCAGGATCCCTTATGGGCAGCAGTTCTAATCCCGGCAGCCCCACTTCCCATCCAGCTCCCTGCTTGTGGCCTGGGAAAGCAGTCGAGGACGGCCCAAAGCCTTGGGATCCTGCACCCACGTGGGAGACCCAGAAGAGCTCCTGTTTCCTGGTTTCAGGCTGGTTCAGCTCCAGCCATTGTAGCTGCTTGGGGAGTGAATCATTGGATGGAAGAGCTTCCTCTCTGTCTCTGTTCCTCCCTGTATATCCACCTTTCCAATGAAAATAAATTAATCTTTTTTAAAAAAAGAAGTAAATTGTACTACACTTAAAAAAATCCTGTAGTTAACTCTAGTAGAAATAATATGTTATTTCCTTAACTCATTTATTATAGATCACTTGAATTTAATATAGCAAAATTATTTTGTATTAGTAATCTGGCAAATGTCTGAAACTTAAGGTGACCATGCTAGCCAACTCTAGATCTGAAATATTGACAATCACTTGAATTGTTCTGTACTTTTTTCTTTTATCTGTTAAATTAATTTGCTGATGCTACCTACTAAGAAAATTAACTCTAAGGATACTATGTATGGAAACACATAGCAAGTGACATACTGTAGCTCTCAGTGTTACCATCTATTGTATTTGAACCATTTTTTTATATCTTATTATTTGTCAGAATTCATAATGCACTTAAAGGAATACCAGATGAACGAGATGGACTGTTTGATACAATCCAACGTTCTAAGAATCACTATCAAAAAAGAGCATATCAATGTATGAAATGTATGGTGGCTCTGTTTAGCAGTTGTCCTGTTGCTTGCCAAATCTTACAGGTAAGAAAGTTTTTATCCTTACAGTTTTATGCAATTTTGACTTTAAGTTAGATTACTTTAAAGAAAAATGAAAAAAAATTAGAATTAGCATTTTAAATTGACATGAAAATGTGTCTAAATTTCTTAAATTTATAATTTTATTTTATTTTCAAGAGTAATGTAGATCTTAAAAGAAAGTGGACCTGGACAGTGGAATGGCTTGGAGATGAACTGGAAAGAAGACCATATGCTGGCAATCCTCAGTATACTTACAATAATTGGTCTCCTCCTATACAAAGCAATGAAACATCAAATGGTTATTTCATAGAAAGATCACAAAGTGCAAGTATGACACTTGCAAAAGCTTGTGAGCTCTGTCCAGAAGAGGTAAAAGAGAAAAGTAAAAATTAAAGTTTGAATTAGCAAAAAATAGAAATGAAACATTAAATTTCTTCTGCATGAATTCCAACATTTATTAGTTTGTTTCTTAAACATTTTATTATTTCCCTGATAGCTAATATGTGCTTGCTTTTAAGAGTGTGCTTTTGAAAACATTGAAATTTAAAAAGATGTTTCTGGAAGAATTGAATTATTTATTTTTCTTAGTGAAAAATGTTAAAGTCAATTTAGTAAATTTTAAAAATGTTTCTAGATTGAGATTAAAATACCAATTTGAACTTAATTTTATAGCTTAATTTTTTATCAGTAAATTTTTTAAAACTAGGAACCAGATTTCCAAGATGTTACAGATAAGGATGAAATATCCCCACCCAAACGTGCTTCATTGTATTCCCATTCATCTGGATCTATGTATCAACAAGTAAGCAGGAATTATTTATATTTTTATGTGAAAAGCAGTTTTTGTGCTTTATTTAAAGTATGCTTCATTTGTTCTTAAATGTTATTTGATGGTTGTGATTGAATGATAATGAACAGGTTTGTGCCAAAAGAAGAAATTATTAGAGTTGTATTATGTTTCATCTTACCACTATGGTATTTACCCTGTTTAACTGGACATCTGCCATGTGCTAGTAATAAAATGTATACCTGACATCTATGTAAAAGGGTCATTCTTAAGCTTAAGAGCGAAAGTAACAAATGGCAGTGAAATGGTTTTTATTTCTCATTAAGAGATGAAAGAATAAAAACAAAAAACCAAACTCTCATCCTCTTTACCTATGCATACCACAGAAAATAGAAAAATGATATAAGTCTCCAGATTAATATCAGGAATAAAAACACCTGAGTAATACCATCTGACTCTTCGAGTTGACATTGGCAACAAATTAAAATTTGGAGCCAAAGATGACTTTAGAACCTAGGATTTTAATGTAGGATATTTTTTTTATCCACTAGGTGTAACAGCCATTTTTAAAACTTTTATTAAAGTCCAGCAGAGTGATGCAATACAGTTGGTCACCAGCTAAAATGCCAGAATGCATACTCAGTCTCTGCTGTTCCCCTTCCAGTCCAAGTCCCCGTTATTACGCCTGTCACTGCCACTCATCTTAGAAGGCCCAAACAGAGTTCTGTTCTCCTGGGTTTGGCCTGGCCTAGTCCTGGTGTTGTGGCCATTTGGGAAGTAAACCAGCAAATAGAAGATCTTCCTGTATCTCTGCCTGTTAATCAGTCTACTGTGTAAATTGAAAAATTATTTTCAGCTTTACAAAATTATTTGCACCAACAGTGATACACTGACATATCCTTCTTTTTACTGTTTGGGAAGATTCTTGGAAGTTTATCTTAAGTGTAATTAGTGATCCATCCAATTTTCTTAAGGCAGTTATACTTCACAGGTCTTATAATGACTGAGAAGTTCTTGGGAAGAACAGAAGTTACCATGTCTGGAGTCTTAGAATTTGGTGTGTTACATTATAGTGGGACTGAAAAATTTCTGTTTCTAATAAATGTCCACATAATATATTGTTGCTGCTTATCCAAGGAACACATTTGAAAAACTATTTTGGGGGGCTTGTGCAATTTAGCCTAGCAGCTAAATCCTCACCTTGTATCCACAGGGATCTCATGTGGGAACTGGGGATCCTGCACCCACATGGGAGACTTAGAAGCAGCTCCTGGCTTCATATTAACTCACCTCTGGCAATTGTGGCCACCTGGGGAGTGAACCAGAGGAACGGAGATCTTTTTCTCTCCTTCTCTCTGTTAATTGCCTTTCCAATAAAAATAAAGAAATCATTAAAAAAAAAAAAAAAACAGAAAAAGGAAAAGCCATTTTTTAGCACAACTATTGGGAGTAAGACTTTTTTTCATGATTTATTTTTATTGGAATGGCAAATCACATTCTTGGAGAGAAGGAGAAAAGGAGAGAAAGATCTTCCATCCACTGATTCACTGCCCAAATCACCCTCACAGCCAGAACTGGGCTGGTCCAAAGTCAGGAACTTCTTCCAGGTCTCCCACGCGGGTGCAGGGTCCCAAGGCTTTGGGCCGTCCTCGACTGCTTTCCCAGGCCACAGGCAGGGAGCTGGAAGGGAAGTGGGGCTGCCAGAGCTGGCATTTGAAAAGGGAGAATTTAGCCACTGAACTATCGGGCCAGACCCAGAATAAGACAAACACTTTGTGAAAATAGAAATTAAATATCATCAGAAACTCCTAGTTTTGTGTATGCAAGCTTCCTCAAAAGTTTTTATGTGCTTGTTCCTTACAATTTAGCAGTGTTACAACTGCTAGAAGAGTCCTTTCTTAAACTATTGCAAATAAAATACTTCCAGAGCAGGAATAGGAAACCAATGAAATATTTATGTCCTGTGTCATGGGCCTCACATAATGATCAACTTAAAAATTAGGCTGTTTGTAAATTACTGGTTTTGAGTTCTGCCTGTTATTGCCCTTACTGTGCCAGACCAAATAATTTTATGAGCCATATACAGTGCACAAGTCAGATATTGTCCACTCGTATTTTGGACAGACTATCTCATTATTATAAATTTTAATTGTAATAGATGAAAAATTTGACATTTTGATCTCTATTTACCCTTGTAGAATAACCATGTGCATGGACTGCCATTGACAGGATCAGCAGCACTTCACTTGAGCACTCAGAAATCTGACCAACAAACACAAGAATATTGTGAAAGCAGTGAAGAAGTTAATTCACCTCAAATCAAATATCCATCAAATGCACACGATTAATTGGTTTCCTTAAGATCCTACTCTCTTGCCTTAACATTTTTCTAACTTTTTCTATGCTTGAGTGGTATTTAAAAGAGGAACTGCTCAAAATCTACATTGAGACTATTCACTGTCGTATATTCTCTATCAGTTTGTAAAAACACAGGGTAAAGTGTATAGTATTTTATAATAAAGGCTGATACTATGTTAATGGCAAAGATGTACAAATTGAATGAATGACTATTTTTTAAACAAGAACCATTTTTGAAATAGATGTATATACAGACACAAAATTAAATTCACTTTGTGCCCATTGCATTATATACAACTAGTCTTGCTTCCTTCATGACAGATGAATGCCTTTACCAAAAACAAAAAACTTTAAAATAAGCCTTTCTGTATGTCAATAATTTTAAATTTTAAAACATATAACTTAAGTTATATGTTGATGTGAAAACTTACGATGTAGCATTGTTTCTAAATATTTTTCTTTATATTTTTATTTTGATGTTAACAACTCAAATTCTATATTCCTATTGGAACATTAAGCATGGCTTCATAGCAGCTTCTTGTAGCCAAGGAAACTAAATTATTTGACTGACAACTGTTGTCCCAAAACAGCAGCTATATCACTCAGAGTTATCGTATTTAATATAAAATATAAAACAGTGAAGAATGTTACAGTTTTTATTTGAATATGTATGTGTTCATTGTGTTCAGTGTTTAATGGTTCAATATCTTGATGTGATAAATAGTGCTATATGAATTTTAAAATCCTAGAAAAATATGCACGTTTTGTTAGACCAGAATGTGTGGAATATAATGGATAAGTATTTGATATTGTTTGAACTTTTTGGTTTTGTTGTTTAGTTATAATTTATTAGTTTTAGTTTCAAAACCTTACTCTGTTGATCATAGTAAAGTAGACATTAGTAGAGTTCATTGTACTTCAAAGTGGATAAACTCTATTTGTCCATTATTTAAAAACTCATGTTGTTTACTGGTATGTTTGATAAGACTACACTTCTCCTTAATTAATGTAAATTTAAGGTACTAGTTTAAAATATTTCCTTAAAGATTCTAAGAAACTTAAGAGTTAATGCTTTAATAAGAAGAGAATTGGTAACTTGGAACCTGTAAAAACACCAAATATCTGCAAACATATAATCTGTACTACAAGCTAAAATATTTTACTGTTTTGTTTCATAAACTTTTTTTGTTTCATAAAACATTTTACTGTTTTGTTCCATAAAATATTTTTTGCTGAATTCACAAATAGAATTTGATTTCAGAATTTTGTGTTTTCTGATCTTTGCTGTACTCTTAGACTATACATTAAAATTACATGTTTACATAGCATTTCAAGGCATGGTATTAAAGTCAACATTTCCAGATACTATAAATATTTGTGCATAAAAATTACTAAGGATTTAGAAATCAAACTCAGCTACAACAGTTAGAAATTCCTAATGTTCATCTGGTACCTTTACCACGTTTTTATAGAGCCACTTCTTACACAGAATATTTAGGTCCTGTAAAGTCATGACAAATACCAAATTAGTGAATTTTCAACCATTTTAAACAGCAAAAATTGCAGGTACCCAGTTTTTTTCAAACATTAGTGTTTATAACATGTAACATAACACATTTATAATAATCTCTTTTGCCCATTGCTTGACAAAATGTATTCATTGATGAAAATTAGTACAATCTTCATGTCAGTCATTTTTTTTAAAGATTTTTATTCAAAAGTCAGATACACAAAGAGACGGAGAGACAGAGGAAGACCTTCCCTGTGATGCTTCACTCCTGAAGTGGTTGCAACGGCTGGAGCTGCATCCATCCAAAGCCAGGAGCCAGGAGTCTCTTTCGGGTCTCCCACACGGGTGTGGGCTTTGGGGCGTCCTCCACTGCTTTCCCAGGCCACAGGCAGGGAGCTGGGTGGGAAGCGGGGCTGCTGGGATTAGAACCGGTGCTCATATGGGATCCTGACATGTGTAAGGGGAGGACTTTAACTGCTACACTATTGACTTTAACTGGGCCTGTGCTGCCAATCACTTATTTAAATTGTTTTATTGATGATGTAGACATATTTGGGGAGGTTGCATGCCTATGTGCATCACTGATTAGGGTGGGAAGGGTTGAGGAATAGGGGAAATTGGATAAGAAAATTGTTTCCAATTTTTCTTTTTCTTTTTCCCATATATGGGGGAAAAGAAGAGAGAACAGGAAAAGCTGCACCCAGACTCCTAAGCACATCATAGAGATGTGGGACAGCCACTCGATGTCATTCCAGCATCCCCGATCTGGGGCATGCTCTGAGGGTACTGCTTTAGCTATTTCAAAAGTTATGAGATGCTGTTGATTTCATTGCTCCAAGGAGGAGGAAATTCTTCCAAGGTCCATTGGCTGACACAGTACACCTTAGTGTCTCCATTTGCCAGACATTTGCTGTCAAAGCTTGACTAAGACAACTTTCAATTTATTCTGTCCTCCGACCTCTACTATGGTACGATTTCCTCTACAGACCCCAATGAACTACTGTATCCTCATTGTGCTTCGGAGCATGCCATCCACTGCATTGTCTTCAACAACCAAGGAAGCCAAGTTCTGATGTATGAAACCCAGCATTCCACCTGAGAATCCCACCCCTAATCTTCCAGTCCCTTCCTCAACCCCACCCACTCACAATCATCCTCAGGCATTCACCTGCAGTTGTCAATCCCCTGGGGCCTGCCCTCAATCCCTCCCACACCTGGCAGACAAAAAGGACCCCAGGTGCAGCTCTGTCTCTTCTTTGCTCTTCTATAAACTCTCTCTCCTCCTTCCAGCCTCTCCTCCCTTCCCGCTTTCCCCATTTCCTGCCCCGCTGGAATAAACCTTCTATGATACCTCCTTACCTCATTGCGTCTGGTGTTTTCAGCTCACAGTAAAGAGCCGGTTGTGGGAATTAGCTGTGCATAAAGTATCATAACATCATAAGAACTAGAATTCTAAACTGTTTTAAATAACTAACATACTATAGTCTTGGCTTGGTCCATCATCCATATCAACCTGCACTACACACTGGTGGTTGCAGTTTTTGGATCAGTTCTGTCTCTAGCCCCATTTCATATGCAAATCAATGGATACTGCAGTGCATCCTAACCCTGCCCACCACACATTTGGCCCTTAAATGCACTAGTGGAAGCTGAAGCATAGTCAGAGCAACTCCCAATAATATTCACAAGGTCCATTCCCAGACCTGGTTCCTGCACATGCTGGTGTGTGTGCAGCAGAATACTCAAGTCTATCTTACATCTCATTTTGCTCTTGTACACATCAATGGGTGTTACAACCTAACTCAGACCAACCATTGTATAGGCCAAAGTCGTGCCTACAGGTGCTGATGCCTGTCCAGCCAGGCCAACTCACAGGTGTAATTCTTACACTCACCAGTGGGAGCTGCAACCTATAATGGAATGTCCACAGCTTCCTAACCAGGCCCACTGACATCCCCTGATCTTGCACCTTCCAGGTAGTTCTGTGGCGTAGTTTGGCAGGACTTTCACCCTCCCACAATCCCAGCAGTTGCCAGCTAATGCTGTGGCAAAACCCAACCAGCCTGCTGTTACTCTGACCTAAGCATACAGCAGTGGGCACAGTCACTTAGCGCAGCCTGGCTCTGCCCCTAATCTAGCTGAACTATAAGCTAACATATTGTAGCCCTGCTAAACCTGATCTGCTCCCAGCCCTAGTTATCATACTCAACAGTGAAGAACCTAGTTGTTTTCTGCCCTTTGTGATTCTGCCTTAATGACTTGGCTTGGGGCTGTGTGAACTCAGGCCTGATAGTCTATGTGACACCCGGCAGGACACCCCACAGGTCACATAGGCAGACCACTCCTCAGGAAGGAGGTGCCTAGTGTTTGGTAAGATTCACCACCATATAGCTCATCGATTTAACTTTTAGATAGTTGCTTGTTTCAAATCCACCCATAGAAGTCTGCTAAACCATAACTGTATAATAAATAGCCTGAAATGTATAAGAACTGGGCGGGAGGGGGAGCTTAGGCTCTTGCGCTCTCTCTGGCTCATTCTCTGCTTCTTTTTGTCCTCCCTGTGGATCCTACAGCAACCTCAGCTGTGGCTGCCCCTCACCCGCACCCAGCCTGGCTAACCTGAATAAACCACCTTTATCCCTCAGAACAGAATTCAGACTTGATGATTTTCTGGGGATGTAAAAATCCAGCACAACAGCAGGAAGAGTACATGGGATTGGGGTGGGGTGCGACTTTGGACCTGGGACTTTAAACTTCCAGGCAGCCTCCTGGATGCGGGTGGGTCTCAAGACAGGGCATCTCAGGATCCCAGACGACAGCCACCATGTGCACGAGGTGAGCTGTCCCAAGAGGCCAGTGCGCCATTTGGTGCCAGGCTCTGCCTGGGGGGTCCCTCGGCCAGGAGCTCTGGGGTTTTGGTTCTCTGAATCACTACTTAAGTAGCTCCAGGTCAAACCCTCTGTGCTTCTGGTATGTGATTCAATCTTAAAGATTCCCATAACAGTACTATTCCTTTGAAGAATTTGTAATCACTGAATAATGCTGACCACTGAACACCAGTCCATGCAAAAGCTAAGGCTCAAACTTGTCAGTACAGGCCCTGTTCCTCCAGTGACCTGTATAACTGAAAAACTCAGAATGCTGCATTTTCCAAAGACCCCAGAGCATTAGCCAACCTTGTGGAATCTATTATGAACACCCACTGCCCTATGTGGGATGATTGCCAGCAGCTACTCAAAACACTGTTCACCTCTGAAGAGTTCATCCTGAATGAAGCCTGGAGAAATGATAATGGAGAAAATGGTAGGCCCACCAACTGCCAGAATTTCATTGATGATGCCTTCCCTTTGCAATGGCTGAATTGGCACTTTATGACTCTGGAAGGTAGAGAGTGTCCCCGAGTTTACTGCCAGACTGTAGTGGCAGGTCTAAGGGCAGCAGTGCAGTGACTCACAAATTGGCCCAGGTAAAAACTATTGTGCAGAGAGAAAATGAAAACCCATCTGTGCTACTTGAATGCATGAATGAAGTTTATACTCAGTGCACTCCCTTAGATACCTTGGCTGAAGAAAACCAGTTGGCAGTAATTGTGTCCTTTATCCACCAGGCCAACCCCTGATGTCAGTAAGAAACCAATAGGGTTTATGATGGATGCAGGAGCCCAATACTCTGTGCTTAACCAAGCTCATTGCCCCCTCACTGATAAGAC